TTGAGGATGGGGTACAGGGCGAGCGGGTTGACGGCCACACGACTGTCGCCCTTGACGAGGGACCAGAGCTTGCTCTCAGCGTGGCCTTCACGCGGCCTCTCGAGGTCGGTGTAAACGCGCGTGGCGGACTTGACAATCTCGGGCAGGAGCTTGTCGATCCTGTTGATATCGCCGGCGTCGTCGGCGTTGAATATGTCGGCGGCCGCCTGGATGCCGTTGCGCGGGCCGGACCACTGCTCGGCCGTAGCATCCTTGGGCTGGCAGAAGAGATGGAATGTAAAGTCGCCCCACTGGGGGCCGGTGTTGCGGATGACGGCGAGTGAGTCGCCCTCGGCCCAGCCGGTGAGGTAGAGGAAGTTGGACTCTTGACGATAGGGGTGAAAGACTGCGCCTGACCGGTACTTGAGCTCGGCGGCGGGGAGGATGGCGAGGGCACCCTCGGGGAGACGATGGGCAAGGTTGGCGCGGCGGTCATAGTACTCTTGCGCTGTGATGCCGGGGGTGACTGAGGCTGTTAGCGAGGGGTTCTTGGTCATGAAAAGACGATGTAGGGAGGGGTGACGAGATGGAACTGACTTTCACCGGCCTTCAAGATGTGGGGATGTGTCTCGTGAACCGGTTGACCAAACTGGAGATCAGCTGCCGATACAGAGGCAAATGTTCGGAGAGCATGACGTCGACTCGACGGTGTCGGTAATGATGCTCGTATTGGACATGATGGTACTGAGAAGCGTAGGCTGCGGTGTGTGAGGCGGAACAGTGACATCTCGGTGGTGGATGGAGAGGGAGGGCGGAAAAGGAGGTGAGACCATGCGCAGGGATCAAAAATTGATGATGGATCTCATGTAAAGGAGAGAAGGAGACTTTTTGGGTTGTGATCTGATGATTCGTAGACCAGGGAGACAATAGATTGATACTGTCTGATTGGCCCTGCAGGTTTTGACCGTTGTTCCCTTGTTCGTCTGGCTTGTTGGTTTCCTTCATATGGCTCGAAGCTCACGATGGCTTCACTCTAGGCGGGCAGGCTGAGTGAGGTGAGCCTCCCTCACCAGTTTGGCAGGCAAGTCCATTGAGGCTGACGTCTGGAGCTCCTCCCCTGGCAACGCTACAGGGAGGCTGGCGGCGGCCCGTAGAATTTCCGCTCGGCGAGAAGAGCCTGGTAGACATTCCGTTCAGTGACATCAGCGAGCCAGAAACGCGCTGTAAATGGGCGCGCCGGCACGGAACGAGTGGGGTGCAATCCCCCCAGCCACAAGGTTTTACTGAATTCAGGGCACTGAAGCGCGGCTATCGGGCAATGGTTTAGCGAGCCTTGCAGCGGGGTTCCCGACCCGAAACGGACGACAGCTGGCGGATGAGGCCGGTTGCCAGAGCGGACTGTGGCTCGTGCGTGTTGTCGGCGGCGCCCAACCAGGATTAGCGCTGTTGTTGCCCCCCGGCCGTGCTGTGCCCACATTGCCCGTCATCTGCCCAGTCATGGCCCTGCACGGCCAACAGCAGGTGGGGAACCCTCCCTCGTCCTCTCTTCCTGCCCGGCCACACCAAAACCAGCACGCCTTCTGCTGACCACAGTCCCAAAGCTCTTCCTACGACTCCGACTTCCGACTCAAGGTGCACTGCACACTGCACACTGCACACTGCCTCCCACCCTCCCACTGCTAACCACAACACCCCATAGACAAGTCGACGAGAGCTCCCTCGTCCTTTGTTGCACCCAGTCCCGTTTCCCTCTCCTTGTCGACGTTGTTCTGCTGCTTTGGCCTCTCTCTTTCTTCAATGTCTTCTTGACGCATTTCTCCTGCTGCACCTGTGAGTACGCGGTCGAGACGTGTCGGCCCTGCACGTCGCGTGCCCACTCCACCCACCACCACCAAAGACCCTCGTCCACAGAAGCATCAAACCTACTCCTCCGACACCACCGCCTCTGCCTCCCACCGCACTCGGCCCTTTTTTACGCCTCGCGACCGTTGAATCGAGCAGCTCTTTTTTTGCTCTTGAGATTCATACATTCGAAGAGATCGACCTCTCCACTTTCGACCCCCA